CATCTAGATGTGTATAAGAGACAGCCCTATTTTGCCGGCCAAGGGAAGAGCATCCACTGGGTTTCAGATCTGGTGGTGGAGATCGGACAGAAGGGAACACGTCATTGCAAGACTGGGAAACCACAAATGCCGAATTGGATACAATAGTATACTTCCGTGGGCCCGACACTACGTATTTTATTCATGAGGGACTGCACCGCCTCCATGATTAGCGAAGCTGCCGTTTTCCAGTCAATAGAGGCCGGATCGGTGGCTTCGTCCAGAAACTGAGTGACTGACGTCGTGTTCATAAACGCCCGCCTTATATTCTCCCAATGAAGGGGAGGGATGTGGGAGTGGTCAGTCTGTTTTGCGGATCTCAACAGGCCCATAAGGATAGCATCTGTCACCATCTTTAGCCTTGCTCGCACCTTTCTGTCTTTTGACAATCGGTGGGGCGGGTGTATGTTCTTTGTCCTTTGTTTGTTATCTTCCCCGTCTGTGTCCGAGACCTCCCTCGTCCTTTCTTCTTCACCTTTGGCCATTTCTACTTCATTTCCCAGTCCGGGTGAGGGGCCCTCTTGCCCCACACTTCGTTGTAACAGGGGGGTCTGAGGTTGTGCAAAGGCCGGACCCGCTTCACCTCGCTCTCGGGGGGGGGGGGCGCGGGGGAGCAGGATGCCGCATCCCAATCCCTGGGGCAGGGAGGTCTGCAATAGTCGATGGTTATGAGAGAATAGCATCGCCGCTACCTATGGGTGCACAGTGTAGTTGCAGGCCTCCTGTGCTGGGAAGCTGAGACCCATCTGCAGGCCGTTTTGCGCCCCACAGTCTATGGTTTGCGGGTGCACCAACAGCGCAGATTGTAGTGTGGTGAGGTTGATGTTGTTGTTCCCCTGGGCCTCAAGCAGGAGTTGTACCCCGTGGTTGATGTTGGGATTCCCCTGGGCCTCAAGCAGGAGTTGTACCCCGTGGTTGTTGTTGTTGTTCCCCTTGGCCTCAAGCAGGAGTTGTATCCCTGTATCCATCGTGTCCGGGACCACCGGGGGGGGCGAGCCCGATTGGTCCATCGGGAGAGTGCCGGATGGGTCCTCCTGTGCCCACTCCACCCCTTCCATACTTGCCTTACTGGCGTTGTGGTCGACCAGTAGAGGGCCTTTGTGAGCAGCGTCACAGTAACCGGAGACCCTTTCCGCAATTTTGTCTTTCCACTTGTTGAGGATTCTTGTCTGTGTTTCTTCCTTATCCCAAACCTGGGACACAGGTGTGGCACCTGTGTGCGGTCTTGGGGAGGGGGGGGGAATGTTCCTCTCACTATTGTTATTATTGCTTGCTTGCGCTCCTGGTATGGCAACTTGATTCGAGGTCTGCTGCAGTTGCTGCTGTTGCTGCCAGCGCTGTTGTTGCCAATGTTGTTGCTGGTTCTGCTGTTGTTGCTGCCTCTGTTTGTGGTGTTGGTGTTGCTGCTGGAAATGCGGCGGCTGCCGCTATGGTTGCTGTTGCGGCTGCAAGGAGGAAGGAGTACAAGCGCGCTAACCGGACCGGTCGGCAAGGCCCGACCACACTCCGGTTGACTATCTCGGGATTACCAAGGAAGGCGAGGTCCCCGACGCCATCGCCACGTTGGTGCATCTGTCACCATGGCAGTCGTTTGGGTCCCCCCTCGGATGCGCTTGCGCCGTTACCATTGTCGGCAGAACGTGACTAAGTGGGGAAGTAAGAGGCGCACAAGGAAGCAAGACTAAGGGAAAGCGAGAAGTGGTGGGGGGAGGCAAGAGAGGGAAGGGCAAGGTGAAACCTCAAGGGAGCAAGGTCGAGCGAGGCTATGCAGCAAAGAAGGGATGAGCAGCAGCACGGCTCGGCGCACAAGAGGAGCACACAGAAGAGAGACAAAGGGAGAGGGAGAAGCGGTGGGGCAAGGGAGGAGAGGAAAAGGAACGGGGAAGTGGACAGTGCGAAATTGCGGGGCGAAGAAGGGGTTAGGAGCAGTACGACCCGACACATAAGCGACGCAACGGGATTGACTGAGACACGGGGAATTGCTGAAAACGAGGTCGTGGAGATACGGTGGCCCGAGCAGCAGCGGATACCAGTGTAGAGCGGGGGCGCGTGGACTACTAAGAAGACGATACTGGAGCGGGAGCAGCGGCGATCGGCTCCACCTGTGGGTGGACGGTGAGACTTTCCGTGGCCGGCAGCCTCACCACCATGCCCTACCCCCGCCCCGCCTGATGACCATCCTTGCTCATCCTCTCCCGTCAGCTTCTCTACCATGTTGACCAGGGGGCCCCGCAACGAAGCTCCCCCTCGAACACTGAAACTTCACCATCGCTGATAGAGAAGCTACATGGCAGGTCTGAACAACAACAACAACAAGAGCTCTGCCAAGACAATCAGGTGCCGCCCCAACAGACGCAAGGGCAGGAGGGTCAAAGTATGGTGTATCGGAAATCCAGAGACACCCACGCGCTCATGCAGACCCTCGCTGCCTCTGGCCAACCATCTAACTCGGAACTGTTGGCCTTGGATGCGATAGGCCTCATGAAGGCACATTTCATCAAAAAACTGCACGTACGCCCAATTAAAAAGTACATTGAGAAAGATGGATACATCTACCCTCACGCCATATTCCCCCCACGGGCAGTGGCAAATAGGAATATGCTATATTCACAGAATGCGATACAATTTCTCTTCTCCCAGTCGACGACTGATATCCCCATCAACGAAAAACTGCGATGGGTCAATGGGAGACTGAGGTCAATCAAGATCAGCGACCAAGCAGTGGCTGACCACTTTCTCATCGAACCGATAGGTCCTGGCACTATCACGGTAGTTTCAATATACCCGCTTGATAGAGCCAACCTCCTCAAACTCACCTCCCTCCGATGTAGGGGCCATGTCGTGGATGGGAGCCACCGACCCCTTTCACAGCTGATCACAAAAGGGAACAATTGATGCGGAACCACTTCTGGGTGGAATTCCGCTTTGCCCCGGGTGGAATTCCGCTTTGCCCCGCTGAGCGTACAAGGGGCAATCTTGGCTGATCTCCATCAGATAGCCCTGGTTCTGGGGTACATTAATGACACCCCGCAGTTCCTCCCCAAAAGGGACGACTTTCTTCTCGTGGCGGTTGATTGGGACCCTGCAACTGGTTTCCCTCTCAGTGGCCAATGGTCTTACTCACAAGATGACAAGGTCTACGCTGTGCAGGTGAACCATCCGCAGGACCCTTGGTGCTACGCATGCAGAACCAGGGGTCACCTATCCACAGACCTACACTGCCCAGGATGGTCCAGGCTGCTGGGTTCCAGAAGACCCCGCCTTTGAAGGCTGGATCTTCCACAGAAAGTCCGTTAACAAGCCTGGAGAGTGGAGATGGTAAGGAAAGGGACGTCCCCCCAAATCCCCGGCTAATGTCACAGCACCATCTCGAGGGGGAGAACGTCTCCAGGTGTGGTTGGCCCTCAGAGATAGAAACCCAGCACATCAACCCAAGCACAACAGCAGCAGCAGCACCACCACCACCAACAGCAACAGCAACAACACTGGCAGCAGCAGCAGCAGAAGCAACATCCACAACCACAACCTCAACCGCCACGTCCGCAGAAGCAGCAGACAGGGCAGGCCAGCACCTCAGCCCCAGTGCATCAACAGCAGCAGCACCACCACCAACAGCAGCAGCAGCACCAGCATCAGCAGCAGCAGCAGCAACATCCACAACCACAACCACCGCACCCACAGCAGCAGCAGAACCAGCATCAGCAACACCAACAACAGCAGCAGCAGCAACATCCACAACCACAACCATCGCACCCACAGCAGCAGCAGAACCAGCAACAGCTGCAATCCCATATCCAGCAAAACCAACACCAGCATCAGCAAACTCATAACCAGCAACTGCAAGAGCAACAGCAGCAACAACAGCAACAGCAACCGCAGCAGCAGCAGCACCAGCAGCCACATGGCCAGCAGCAACACCAACACCACAAACAGAGGCAGCAACAACATTGGCAATAACAGCGCTGGCAGCAACAGTAGCAGCTGCAGCAGACCTCAAATCCAGCTGCCATACCAGGAGCGCAAGCAAGCAATAATAACAATGGTGAGAGGAACATTCCTCCCCCCTCCCTAAGACCGCACACAGGTGCCACACCTGTGTCCCGGGTTTGGGATAAGGAAGAAACACAGACAAGAATCCTCAACAAGTGGAAAGACAAAATTGTGGAAAGGGTCTCTGGTTACTGTGAAGCTGCTCACAAAGGCCCTCTACTGGTCGACCACAACGCCAGTACGACAAGTATGGAAGGGGTGGAGTGGGCGCAGGAGGACCCATCAGGCACTCTCCCGATGGACCAATCGGGCCCGCCCCCCCCGGTGGTCCCGGACACGATGGATACAGGGATACAACTCCTGCTTGAGGCCCAGGGGAACAACAACAACAACCATGGGGTACAACTCCTGCTTGAGGCCCGGGGGAACAACAACAACAACCTCACCACACCACAATCTGCGCTGTTGGTGCACCCCCAAACCGCAGACTGTGGGGCGCAAAACGGCCTGCAGATGGTTCTCAGCTTCCCAGTACAGGAGGCCTGCAACTACACCGTGCACCCACAGGTAGCGGCGATGCTACTCTCTCATAACCATCAACTATTGCAGACCTCCCTGCCCCAGGGATTGGGATGCAGCATCCTGCCCCCCCCGCCGCCCCTCCCCCCCCCCCCCCAACGAGAGGGAGGGGAAGGGGGTCCGGCTTTTGCACAACCTCAGACCCCCCTGTTACAGTAAAGTGTGGGGCACGAGCCCCCCCCACCCGGACCGGGAAATGAAGTAGAAATGGCCAAAGGTGAAGAAGAAAAGACGAGGGAGGTCTTGGACACAGACGAGGAAGATAACAAACAAAGGACGAAGAACATACACCCGCCCCACCAACTGTCAAAAGACAGAAAGGTGCGAGCAAGGCTAAAGATGGTGACAGATGCCATCCTTATGGGCCTGTTGAGATCCGCAAAACAGACTGACCACTCCCACATCCCTCCCCTTCATTGGGAGAATATAAGGCGGGCATTTATGAACACGACGTCAGTCACTCAGTTTCTGGACCAAGCCACCGATCCAGCCTCTATAGACTGGAAAAAGGCAGCGTCTCTAATCATGGAGGTGGTGCAGTCCCTCATGAATAAAATACGTAGTGCCGGGCCCACGGAAGCATACCCCACGGCTGACACCTTCTTGGCGACTCTGTCCCATACTGACACTGCCCCGACAGAGATACTCTTTGAAGGTATACGGTGGCCTGGCCTAATAATTCAGGAACTTGAGTTGGAAACGAAGGAGCTCAGACCAGAGTTCAACGGAGCGATCATCTCAGCAGACAGCCCCGGGCCAAAGCAGCTGCTGCCACAACACTTATTCCTACCCCTACCTTACCTCCAAATCATACACCCTGCAGCAATCAAGGATGGCACTCGCCACCCCACTGGCCACAACCACCAAACACACAGAGCAGACCCATCTGGCCAGCCAGACCCGCCCTCTGAGTCTGAGTCAGGGACCGACACCGAAGATGAGTTTGAGTGGGACCCGATGCTGCTAGCTGGCTGCATCGGGCCCCCACCGCTGCTAACAACCACCTCTACGAACGACCTCACTGCGGGAACAAAAGCAGAACAGGAAAAAACAATCGTCCTATCACAGGAACAACAGGGACAACAAAGACAACAACAACTGCTCATTACAGACCAAGAGGTGCACAGTACATCTGGTACGGAACCCAACACAGACCTGGGGGGCTCAGATATGCACACGGGGAAAAGGAGCACATTTAGGGACGCGCTGGGGGCCGCAGATCGACTGACTCAGGCTCCTGTCACGAAACTAGGGGTCGTCATAATCCCGGTGAAAAGGAGCTGCCCAGACGGGGAATGGAAAATTGGACTTAGAATCAACTCCCCCTGGGTGCCCAACCTGGTTAACCGAGCACTTAAAACCTCTCAGCAGAACCCCCCGGGCCTCACCCTTCAAGGGTGGAGAGGTTCCACATTGCAGGTTATGACCAGACACATGCTTAGAAAGTTATAGAAACCACCTCAACCAGAACGGAGACCAGGGGGCAGTTGGGACAATATTTCCCAGTGACCTCCCATTCCCAAAGGGCGCGACACCCATACTGGTTCTGTTCACCACATACCAGCAGGAGAGCCAGCAACAACAATCGGGCCAGATCCACTGGCTCACACAAAAGGAACTGTTGGATATATCGACACTTCGTCTGAGAACAACCAACATTTGGTCAGCTGCAGAACAGACAAGATTCCTGCTCCTGTTGGAGGAAGAAACATTGGATAAACATAGGGCATGGGACGGCCCGCCTTTCATCAACAGCATTGCTTGATGGAAGCAAGGTGCAGCCCATCACTCAAATAAGCAATGGCAGAGAATCGATTCCCCCACTGCCAATCGAGCTTTCAGGATGGAGGCTTGCAGCTAATAACGCATATACACGCAACACCGCATCATCCAAGCCCCGAGGGGGCCCGTGGACAAGAAGCACACCCACAGAATCCACGTTGTCCGGTCCCCCCTCGCCCTCCCCCTCCAATACGAAAACAGCCAGAGTGGGCAAAGAAGCTATCGGAGGCCGATCTTGACATACGCTCTGTTAACGTTAATGGACCAGCGCAACCCAACGAACAAAAGAAATCGGTCATCTGGAAGATGATGCTGCAAGACATGAGGGGAAAATGGTCAGGTGCCATTGGAGTACAGGAGACTCACCTCACTGATTCTCAGCCCCACCTAGCCAGAGCCAGAAATGTCTGGCCTTATACAACATTCATGGCCCCAGCCCGCTCCTCAACTTCCACAGGAGTGGCCATTTGGCTACCCCCCTCGTCAAGATTGGTCCCGATACATGCGGATTGGGACAAAATAGATGGAAGACGGGTTTACCTGAAAGCGGCAATGGGAACAGAGGTACTATACTTGGTATGCATATATGCTCCAAACGATCCGGTACAACGAGTCCAGTTCTTTCTCACCCTGCAACAAATATTGCCAACAGACGCCCCGATCATAATGTGTGGGGACTTCAACACCACCCTGGACCCGGGTGTGGATAGAAGATCATCATCACTAACGCAGCAACCGCCAGGAGTAGAGGTGCAAAGAGAAAGATCACCAGACAACATAGCGCTGGGCCAACTGATGTCAGATATGGACCTGATTGATACCTTTAGAGAGACGCATCCTAACAAAAGAGCCTACACATGTGTCAGATCTCAAGGAGCGGCGGGAGCGTCCAATTCAAGAATTGACTTACTTCTCCTCTCAAAAGACCTGGGGGGTCTGTTGACCACGTCGGCGATCCTCTCGTTCTCCCCCTGCAAATCATTTGACCACCGCACGATAGCAATAGGCCTCTCCCTCCACACACACATCACAAGAGGGCCGGGGTACTTCAAATTCAACACATCCTTGCTAAAGCTTCAGACTTTCCAGCAGCTGGTTAATGACTTCTGGGCATACTGGACATCGACGAAACCCGATGACAGGTCGATAGTCCATTAATGATGGGGTGACACAGTTAAGAGGGAGAGTTAGAAAATTTTCCATCCAAAAAGCAAGAGAACGTAAAGAAGTGCTGGATAACCTGCTACAACAACTTGAGGAGTGGGATACGCACCTCACCGAAAAACCTTTAGACATCGACACTTTCAATGCCCTTCAGCGAGCTAGAAGCCAGCTACAAGAGCACGTGGACACGCAAGCACAAAAATGGATAATACAGGTTAAAATCAGGAAGGATGCCACAAACAGAATGATGTCCAACACCTTCTTTAGAAAGGCTAAAGCTAAAAGTAGACAGTCCACAGTACCCTCCCTTAAGCACCCGTTCGACGGTTCCCAACCACCAGCAAAAAACGCATACAAAATCGTGGAGTATGCATCCCTCTATTATACAAACTTGTTTACCTCACAGACTCCACGCACTCAGCCGCAGACCCTTGCCCATGCAAGGGACACATTGCTGGCTGCACTCCCATCTTTACTGACCACAACGCAAAGAAACTCTCTAGATGAACCCATGACTAGCCAATAAATCCTTCAGGCACGACAAGATATGGACGATGAGAAAACACCTGGTCTAGATGCCTTCCCAAAAAAGTTTTGGCTTCACTTTTGGGAGACATTCCAAAATGACTTTATCATCTATACCAACGCCGTGTTCCACGAGGAGACATTCGGGGGTTTGATGGGACAAGGGGTGACAACGTTGTTGTACAAAAAAGGGGATAAAGAGGAAATTAGGAACTACCGCCCTATCACCCTTCTGCCCGTCCCTTATAAGAAAATAGCCAAAGCTTGGGCAAAAAGATTGTTACCCCTCCTTTCACACTTCATCCACCCGGACAAATCAGACTTCATGCCTTTTTGCAACATACAAGATAATATCTTGCTCGTTAATGAAACTATCCGCTCGCAAGACAACAGAAAGTGGAAGTGGCCATATTGTTCATCGACTTTGAAAAGGCATATGAACACGTGGATTGGGACTTCCTCGACATGTGTCTAGTAAAAATGAACTTTGACCCTCTTTTCTGTAAGTGGGTCAACACCTTCCACAGAACAGCCACCATGAATATCACCCTTAATGGTCATCTTGCTCCCCTTTTCCGTCTTCAACGCTCGGTGAGACAAGGTGACCCCATCGCATCAATGCGTTTTGTGCTAGTTATGGAAGCGTTAGCGGCCATGATGAGAAACAACCCTGACATACATAAAATCCAAGTGCCGGAAATACAGGAACACCTGATCCCTGTTACCTCAATCTTTGCAGATGATCTCACAGTCTTGTTTCGCGCAGACAAAGAAAGATTCCGGGCGGTGGCTCACATAGTCCACCTTTTTAAGATAGCAGCGGACATGAAGGTCAATTGGGGAACAAAAACGGAAGGCTGGTGGTTAGACCCCCAGGGAGGGCCACCACCGACTGACCCTCAGGTGGCCTAGAGAAACAAAGAGTCAGCAATAAAAGTGTTGGGCGTGAATATCACAACGATGGGCCCGCCACCAGACCATGGTGACTCACTTGTGGAGTTGGCAATAAGAAAGCTCTCTAACTGGGACGACAAACCAACATCTCTGGCAGGCAGAGTGCTGGCAATTAACAATGTCATTTTCGCATCCATATGGTACAAGGTAGCGTTCTGGCAGCTCAACAGAAAACAGATCACCAAACTCAAACAGGTGGCGACGACGTACCTTTGGAAGAATAACCACAACCACTCCCATTCCATAAAAAGGGTGGTGTGGGACACTATTGTGCAGCCCAGAACACAGGGCGGTCTAGGAATAATTGACCCAGAAGAAGAGATCAAGGCGTTGCTCTTCAAATTCTTGATCCGCCTCCACCTGAGCAACAATATCCCGTGGGCCCCGTACGCCTGCATCCAACTGCACTGCATTGCTCCCCCCTCTCATCCCCTCTCACCAGTTCACCCATTGCAATGGTTAACCAATAGGAGCTGGTCCCTGCCCTTGGTCCCACGAAGGGTGGAGGAGGACCACTCACCAGAAGGAAGGGCAAAAGAGGACCTCAAAGTTGACCCATTATGGCCAGCAATGGTTAAACTGTGGAGAGAAAGAGGGCCGCAGCGCACCCCCACGATGCCCAGAACGGAGGGGGTACGCCGCTAACCACTTTTTGGACACCCGCACATCACGAATGAAACAGGCAACCCGTTCTCCCTTCAAGGGACCTCCAAATGGAGGCAGTGGGTTAAAAAAGGGGTGTACACAATGGGCCACCTCTGGGATGGCCACGCAAGGAACTGGAAATCCGAGAGCTCTCTGAGGAACCTCACAAGTCCCTTGAAAAACATGACCTCTTGCATGACGGAGCTACAGGAAGCCATCCCTCCGGCCTGGATCCACGCCGTTAAAATGGGCCCGACGATACAACCAAATGACTGGGTGGTGCCCACTCAATCTATGCCCATTCCCATGACGGTGTACAAAGTGCACAGCAACAACAACGGGAATACAACATTACACGCCTACTATCCGACCTTACCTGGGGAACACTGGTCAGCAATACACAGACAAGAAGACTTTGACACACAACTACTGTCATCCGAGCTCACTAGAGTCAGAGTGGTAGAGAACACTGAGGATGGCCTCTATCTCTACGAGCCATCCATTCCCCTCTGTGACTTACCATTCGACCCAGCGGAATGGGAATGGTCATGGTTGAGTCTCAAACAATGGCCTTGTGGCAATACACTATCAAGAACGGTTATCGAATAGCCCAGAAAAGAGTACAAGTGACACAACAAATC